AAAGAGTGTTCCATATCCGAAAGCCTGCTGTGCAGAAGTTAAGATGCAAAAAACAAAACAGAAGTTGGAATATGGAGCAATTCAGTTTTAGCAGGGGATAAGTGTCAATACCTTTTTTGTGGGCTGGCACCAGGGATGGGCATGATGAGCATGATTTTGGAGGACTGCTTGATAAGTGTACATTTATCCCTTCATTCGATGAGGCGCTTTGGACTGTAGACAGATCATTCATGTGGACATCACTGATGTATTCTGCAATTAATATTTGCATTAGGTCATAAATTATTTCAAAATACTGTAAGGATAAGCCAACTGTAGTTACACAAGTCACTTATCTTCACTGGCAGAACACTGGACGTTTAAAAATGCAGCATGACTTTAATTCACATATTAAGTTAAAATCAAAACAAGAAAAATTCCCCTCCCTTCTAGATTATATGAAGTCTTAACCACTAAAAAACTATGGCTTTCCAGGTAAATTCAGAATGGATTACAAAACATGTAAACTGAAAGATAAATTAAATTGCTTACAAGTAAACCCACTTATCCCATTAGATTTATAGATCTCCGCAGCATCCTAGAACTCATTTCCACACACAGTTATGTCAGCCGAGAGTGTGACTGTTTCATGTGCACATCAGTAATGCCTTACCTGAGAATCTGCTGTGTATCTGCACTTTGACAGTTCCTTGATTATTTAAAAATTCAGTGGTTTCTGAAGCAACATTTACATCTTTTTCCAAGTCTTCCATAGAGCTTTCTTGGTTAAGCTTGTTGCACAATGCCTTTTCTTTCTGCCAATCTTTGGACATGACTGAAGTGTTTTCATCATCCTGAATTAACATAGCTGTCTCTGCAGAATCCTCCAAGACAGGTTTGAAGACAGACTCATTTTCTGATTTATCGCTGGTACCATGGGTTTCACAAGACTGAAAGCCTATGTCTGAAGGGCTCTCGTCTCCTTCCATACTTTCTTCAACACTCATAGGTTGGGCATCTTCCACTTCTACAACAGGCTCTTTCAGTTCTTCATGAAGCAAGTCCATTAAACAACGCAAAAATTCTTGTGCATCCTAGGATTTTTAAATAAGTTTGACAACATTATTCCATTGCATTTGAAAAATATTTAAATTATATTAGGAACAATATGAATAACTAGAATGAAAAGTACAACTGACAAATTAACGAATAAGGTAGTGTTCCCCTACCCCTAAACTAAAGTGCAAAAAACTGATTTTTGGACAACATGTTCCTGCATTCATTTCCATGTATCACAAGGAATCTTGAATATCAATACAAGTTTCCTCGTAAACACTTCTGCTAGCGAGCATTTCCGACAACTTTGACAAAAATACTGCTGTAGCTTACACATACAATAAGCTTAACTCAAGCGACCACCAAGAATGTGGTCAAACTCCAGCTTCGCTGGTAACAGACTCTTTTGGAGGTGGATAACTGGAAAAGTTGCACAGCATTTTCGGTAATCAGAGCCTTGTTTTCACTGGGCCAGGAAGTTCTTAATTAAAAGGATTACGGTATGATATCCCAGTTTTCCTATTGTATCACGTTGGCAACAAGTTCTTAACTTTTTTTTTTCTCCCCCCAACCTGAAGACCGAGCAAGATTCCTTAAGGACTATCAATCTTCCACAGGGTTGTGGAACATTACTACCAGTCTAATCTGTGTTTTGAAGTAATGCTAAAAGGAAAATATATATATATATATATATATTTACATTCAAAATCCACCCACCAGCTGGGTTCCTTGAAATATCAAATAAAAGGAGGCAAGGGAGAGAACAACGGTCCCTTTTTGGTAACTACTACATGCTTCCATTTTCTTCTTTACAATTTGTTTGTTCATAATAATCACTTCTGCTGCTCAGCCTCCCACCTCACCATCATAGCAGTTATGTGTTAAACTAACTACTGCCTGTCAAACATTCATGCTGCTTGGTTAATACAAAAAATATACACATCATTACTTTCTTGTAAATTTATTGTAATTTCTTGCAAGTCTTGTAATATTAGATGTAGATTTTTTTCATTACCAAGTCTCCGCCTTCCCTCCCCCCTCAAAAAAAAAAAAAAAAAAAAAAAATCAATAAGCCTATTTGCTGACAGTACTTTTACATAGACAACTCAATACCTGAGATGTAGATTAACGACTAAACATTCTGATTGGGCAAAATAATTTCTTTTACACTGAGTATTGGACAAAGCAGATGAACCGCCTGCCAAGCTTGCGAGGCAGAGCAATAGGGAAGTGTCAGTCACATAGAACCCATTATGTTTTAATTAACTATGAAGCTTATTACTAAATACTTTTGTACTACTATACATCCACAAAAAATATTTTTCACTCAGCATTCAAAGCTGCAGGAATCAAGTTTCCATGTAGTTTGTTAGGTTAAAGATCGACAATTTCCCACTTTACCAGAAAGGGAAGAGGAGGCGTCTTAAGAAATTAATGAATAAGTTAAATTGTCCTGAGTCTCCAGAATAATTTAGCACACGAATCAGTATTGAGATGACTATTTAAACACTTTATTGCTACTTATTTTGATATTTTAATGCTCCAATATTAAACACATTAACTAAAACAACAAAATTTCCTTGAATTACAAAGGTTTGCTGAAATCTGCTAAGGATACTAGTAAGCTTTAGTTACTATTAGTAAAATAAAGATTCTACTGCAAAAAGCTATTAATAAACACTGTAAACTATATCAGTCCACTAAGATATTGTCCAAAAGATCATATAAAAAATGCCTTCACTAAGTAATAATTCATGTATACTTAACAGCTTATCAATTAACAATTTCCATAGTGTTTTATATGAAACAGATATAGATTAAAAAAGCTAATAAATGAAAAAAATTGCTACTATGATCTTAAAGAATACAGCTGGCAGATGATTTTTTTTTTCTTTTATGAGCACCTTTATTTTAGGGGATGCTCAGACTCAGCAGTATTACTTAACACAAATAAGAAGGTTTTAGATACTCATTATTTACCCTCTTCTAAAAGAGGAGGAGTTTTTCCTCAAATGTCAAAGCCTGATACAACTTAAATTTTGAAAAGATTTTCAGATCATCTACAGATTTTAAGTACACAAACTTCAACGTTTCAAAGTACATTCATGCTGAAACTGCTTTAAATGAACACAGGAAGCACAACAATAAGATTAAGGACAGCTTTATGACTCGGATTTAAGAAAGAAAAAAAAAACATAGCTTTCACCTGTTGTGAATAGCCTCGAAATGTTGGATTAACTGTTTTAATTCCTTGAAATAGACCAGTGGGAACAACAGAACCAGGCCTAAATGAAAAAAAAAAAAAGCGTATATTAAAGAAGGAAAAAGAGAAAGAAAGCATTTAAGCATTTTTTTCTACCTTTACTGGGATCATAATTTTACATTAAACTGAACTATGACAAATCTAACAGTTTAATGACAACCTTAGTCGAATAGTGGTATTGAGCTATTTTTTAATAAACACAAAAATTTTCTTTGTATCTCTCATTTGACAGAAGAGCAAAGACTGTATTAACCATCTTTATTAGACATAGTATTTAAGGTTCACAACACCCAATGGCCTCCACGATAAAGAATCAAACACTCTTCATGCTATGCACGACTACTGCTTAACTGTTTTAAGTATTTTTAAAGTAATTTCTTAGACAAATTCCACACAAGGAAAAGCAGTTGATAAAGCACAGAATATAGAATCAAGAAGAGAGAGATCTAAAATATGTAACTACTGTATTTCTTAGGGATATAAGTCTGTTTTTAAGCACTTAAGGTTACTAAGGACAAATAATTGATAGACCATCCTTGCTAAAAATTGCAACAAGAAACACGTGAATAAGCATTGTACAATCTTTGGCACATACAGAAAAGAACCAATTACGATTTACAATATTTAAATCCTCGTTAGTTTTTCCTTCCTAAAGCAAAAGTCTGACCCTTTCAGCTCTTCTTGAAGATCACTGTTTCCGACAGTGATTTTCGTACTGAAATGGACCTTTATTTCCAAACAGTATGTACCAGTCCTTTTAGAACAAACACACATCTATGACAGACTAATCCTAATACTGAGTTTGTCTTATTTATAACCTTTTTATCACCAGAATGATACAATACCTGCTTTTGTGCCAGAGTTCTGTCATCAGCTTGAGGTAACTTTTACAAATTGCTGGTTTCTTATCGGTTCTGGCTAAGGCTCCACAATCAAGAAAAAAGTGTGTCAAAGGTGGGCTGAAGAGATATAGGAGGAAAAAATGTTTTCAAGTAGTTAAAATACAACAGAAAAATCTACATTTCATACAAGATATTATTCAAGAGTAATTACTACTACATGAACGAACAATTTAGTTTCCAGGGTTCTCAAATGCTGTAGTGAAGTGTCTCCTAGTAAGATAACCTCCTTGGTAAAGCAGCTCTGCTCCTTAAACTTATCCTGACATTTCTTAGAGCACCCAACTGTCCAATCGGATTCAAATTCTGTGCAAGTTCTACTGTCCATCACAGAAATACACATATACCTCTATGGCAACAGTCACCATGAGACTAGGCTGTAAACAGATGCCAAGATCTTTTTGCTAGCACCCAGCACGGCCACATGATGTTTTTAGGTAAATAATTTCTCTTACATCATTATTTAAAGATATTTTTGATCATGTCTATGATTTGTAATGTTTACTTCATTGCATGTTGCCAACCCTCACTTTTTCTTCTCTCCACCCTTTAACAAGTCAATCCATCTTGCACAGTTTTAACTTATTTTGATACAAAAGATGCTATTCCAGCATATTGCAAACTTTGGTATTTCTTCGACTAGAGGCCTTATATCACTTCATCTTCTAGAGAAGGGTAGGAAATTAAAGCACCAGTACTTTGCTCAACTCCCTTCTCCCTAAGCAGACATTTTCAGCAGAGCCTACTGAAGCTTGCCCTGTCTTGAACTGTGGTCAAAGCAGTTGCATACAGTAAACACACATGGTATGTGTTTAAATATTGTCCCAAGCCTCTAATAATCTGCAGTACAAAACATTCTGGAGTCGGATAGGCCTTCTATCTCTTTAGCCTTAGATTTCTCTTTCATGAACCTGCCCACTATCTCCAAGCAAGGAGATGATATTGTATCCTAGACACTCCTAAGACAATTTTGCACCGTTACAACATTCCATGTACAGAGTTAACAAGTACTGAATTTGGACCTTTTAAGTTTAACATATCTTTTTTCTAATTTTCTAATCATACTTAGGTACTTCATTTGGTTTCTTATGCTAAGGGAAAAGAAAAGCAGCTTGCTTTTTGAAGAGTTGGGCAGGGGATGTTGTTTAAGTCAGCTTTTCTTCTGATTTCTAGAATGACATATATCCTTGAGGACATCAAGGAAATAGAATGAATAGGGCAAAAAAGAGACACCAATCCTTATCCAATAATACTTGATTGTATAGGTAACACAGGTGCTTGTAGCGTGCAAGGTTAAGCTTTAACAGAAACCTTTGGAAGCCAAGCCCTTCATGACCTGCAACTCAATCTTCAGAGAATGTATGCATATGCAAATACAAGATTACTTTTATATCCATTTTCCTCACCAGTTGGAAAGTGCTTGTAAAGCCGCATTCATATAACATGTGTTTCCAATATTTTTTAATCCTGTAAGACCTGAAAAATAATTAATATTTAGCAAGTCTAAGTTAATACAAAGTCATACTAAGGAATACTTTCTAGTAGATACATACTAACTATATCATAACTGTCAATTGGCTTTTTCATTAGAACACAAAGGTATAACTAAAAGAAATATAGGACCCCTAACAGAATATTATTCTATCTAGAAAAAATAGTTAGTATTTTGATTTTGGCTGACTAATATATTTCTGACAAGTAGCCTTCTTAACTTGCAATGTTTTATGAGAGTTGCAGACTGCTATTTTAAAAAGTATTTATCAGTTATTTAAGCTTTTATTAAGCTTAAGAATTTAACTAGGCTGGTAAATCATTTCTGTGCTGTTCATAACAGTTCATCATACTATCAAAGACTTTCAAAGAAAGTTTTCAATCTTCTGTTTAAAGTTCATGCTAATAGTTAAGATTAGGTTATACATTCAAAACCTATTGAGCTTGTAATTAGCCCAGAACTGAAGATTTAATTAACTTACAATCAGTCTCTTTCTATGCAGACCTACTACCCTAATCTTCATAGAAACTGTTCACTTTACCCCAAGAATTAATTTTGTTTACTTTCTTTACTGAAAACTGCAAATAGCTTTTCCACACACAAGTTACAACTAAACTCATTCAATAACCAATCCAGCAAACAGAGTCACCAAAAGTACTCCCTAAACATTCGGAGAGAGGCTATTCAGACAAGTCCTAGCTAGCGCACTATCTGAGCTCAATGAAAAGAATTCACCTATTTCTGTTCTTAGCTAGTGCATCATTAAAATAATGAAGTAATTAATTTCAAAATAAACTGCTGTTGTCCAAGAAGGCATAGTAAGATTTATTGGCACAGAATCACTACCTTAATTACTACAACTGGAAAGCTTAGAGCATTTAGTAATTAACACCATTGGCCAGCTTTAATCCTATAACATAGGAATTGCTTCTGGTCATTTTAGTCCATGACAAAGTAAAATACAAAAGGATTTTTTAAAATATATTTTAAAATTTCTAAAAAGGTTTGCATCAATTGAATCCACTATTCAGAACTTCAGCAATAAATTACTGATTTTTGCTTTATTACCTCTGGTCTTCAACTCATCTTCTTCCACTTCTGCATCTAGATCATCAAATACAGCTGCTAGTGGAATCTTCAGTACAGGATTACTAGGTATTTTAAAATCCTTATCAAAAGAGAAAAGTAGATTTATTTGTATTTTCTTTCCTCTCAAACTTCAGCATAATTCCACCAAAAAAATAGGAACTAAAAATGTGCGAATGAGAACCGCATTTTAAAAGCTCATTTCTCAAAGTGAGAATAAAAGGATTCCACAGCTACACTAAGGAAATTTACTAGGAACAACAAGCTTTTGTTTTCAGACTAGCAGTGACAGGATTGCACCATTTAAAGATGACTGTTGAAGAGAATAAAAAGAGTAAGTTATAATAATATTTCCTTCCCTTTGATAACAAACAGTAAGCCAGCACTGCAACACTAACACAGCAGTCATCACTTCAGAGTTGTGTATGTGCTTTTCATTTGCTACCAGATGTCTTACTACATTCAAAGACAAACCTCCAGCAAGCAAAACTCATAGAGAAACAGAATATTAGGCAGGCAAACATTTATTGCCTGACAAATTCCTGTGAGCATATAAATAAAAATTCTAAACAGAATACAAGTCAAAATGTGCAAGCTCCACTGTTTTTCTGGGAATTATACTTATTTCCTTAGAAGATTAAAAGAAAATAAGTAGAGCAGGACAGAAGGGAATTAAGCCTGGACTCAGCTTTATATTAATTCAGAACTCCTGCTAAACAGAAATTAAAAATACATATGCCAACAGAACTATTCCAATTTGGAAGCTGATATTTTGAGATAATTACCAAATTCTGTTCACAATGAATATTTGAGTTAGACTTTTCCCCTCCACTTATTTTAAGCATCATATTGAAAAAGTGCCAATCTGTTCCATAGCTCTACACCCAAAGCAAGGCATATTAAGAAATGCTTCACTGCTGTTTGTGTCAGTTTTGAGTTAACAGTCATTTTTATGCATTCATTTTATTTCATCTTCATTTCATCTTCATTTCATCTTTCATTAAAGACATAATGATTTTTTGATATAAACATCATGCCAAACAAGTTTGACAAACTGTCAAAAATAGAATGAACCATACTATTAGCCTTCATAAGCATTAGCAACTGAGAATATTTAAAAAAAAACACACTTGAAGGTGCAGAAGAACATCCTATACACAGAACTGAATTATGCTGTTTGAGAAATAACATTGACTCCAATGTTATCTTATTATTTTCCACCATTACCTTACTCTTCACTTACTCTAACTGCTAAGAAACATAGAGTTAGAAAGTTAAGCACTTCAGAAAGTAATAACACAATTGTATAAATTATTACAATTTTAGGTCTATATTTTACTTGATAGTATATTCTTTAATATTTACATGCCAAGGAGAAGAATATGGCCAAAACATACTAAAGCATTTTGCTACTACATGCAAAATAGCCAGTAATTATTATAATGACTTTTGTAGCTAAGAAGTTTAAGAGCTGACAGAATGGCAAACACAGCTGATCAACCTTCAGTCTTAAAATTAACTCTGTGCTTTTTCTGAACCTTGCAACTTATTGTCAGTTTAAACAATACGGACAGTAAGATCAAAAGGCATTCTCGGGGCATATGCAGAGAATGTATCTGCTCTTCAGAGAAGCATTATAAAGAGAACTGAGTAGAAAGCACAGACAACACAGGAGAAAGTCAGCCTCTTATTCCACAAAAGACATGTACAAATACTACTACTTTACTGTAATGCTACAGCTGCCTATATATTGTATCGGTTTAAAAATACCTGCACACTATTTTCTTGTGTTTGGTGAGACAATCTTGCATTCGGTAGCAGAGAGTGAGAGCCCAATTTTCTGTCCAAGAATACTTCCTTACTACAGGCATAACACCAAACACGGAGTGTAGTAAGGTTGACAGTTAGACAGTGTTTTGTTTCCTAAAACAGAACAAAAGCCGAGAAAGGGATTCAGAAATACATATATAATTCTATATATAAAGTTTGAACGGAATTATTAAAAAGCTGTGTCTCAACAATGAAACAAATACACGTTAGAAGATTAAAAAAATCAGTTCATTACTGAAAAGACAACATTTTTAGCACGAGTCACTCAGACTAGCAACAAGCTGCAGTCACGATGAATGTAAGCTATAGTCGTATATGATATGCCTCTGAGTAATTTCAAAAATCAGAACAGTCTGGTGTTAAAAGTGTTAACAAAAAAAAACCCCTCACTTTCTAGGAATGTCTATGAATGGTAACATCAAAAGCAAGGATAGTGCTTAATTTTGCTTGTTTGCTGTAGGAAAATTAAGTTACTGGCTTTTGAACAAGCAAAGGGGCAAGATGAGTAAGATTTTTAGTTCAGTTATAGCAAGAACTGTTCACACTGAAACAGGCACTCATTTGGACTCAGTTCTCTTGAGAGTTTCATACCATGGGGCTTTATGAAAGCTTCATAGATTGATGATATTTTTACCTTTATCTTTTGTCAAACTCTGCTTACTGAAAGATTCTGCACGGTTGCTATTGCCCTCCAAAGATTTTCAACAATCTTTACTGCGTCTTTTTCTTATATGAAGGCACCAGCTAGGTTTGCAGGCAGCAAGCAATCAGCTAGAACTTAGCAAAGTGCGACAACTGCTGCAGATGCCCAACTTCTTCCCCCACAGATTTAGTAAGGCCTTGTTTAAGAACAATGTTTTAAAATATGAAACGTGGGATACGTTTTTATTACACAGACCTTCTTCAAAAATTTGTCAGACTTGAGATATTTAAGTATTTTTTAAATAATAAGAAATATGCCTGATTCTGCAGCCTCAGTTGCATAAGCAATTAATGTCTCCAGAGCACCAGCTTATTAATATTCTCAAAGAGAAGACGAACATGGTTATTTATTTGCAGTACAGGGAACCCTGCTGGTAGAAACTGAGGTGACCTAGACTAAACACCAATCCACATCACCCTTCTATCTCCCATGTTAGTATCTATTCCCTTTCTTTAACCTCACAAATATATAACATAGCTAAAAAGAGCTTGCGAAGAAGCAGGAATAAGCTACAGTAGAAAGTCAAGAAGTATAAAGTTATAGTCAACAAATTCAGGGACCATCTGTTCCCCAACTGCACTTCAAGCATCCTATTTATATATTTATTGTAAAGGTTTTGGAACCGATTCAGCTCATACAGCTACTAGTCTGGATTTTTATTAATGTAGTATTAGGTACGTCCCTCATTTCAAAAAGGGTCAGGTGTAAACGTGCTCATAAAGCCTACTTTTTCCTTGTAAAAACCCTGCATATACTATCTGTTCATTTTAAAACTTAACACTAGAGCATGCACATGCACAGAGCAAACTGCAAGTGTATGACCCAAACAGAAGCACTCAAGCTGTCCAGCCATGCCCGAACTTGGCACGTAAGGCACACAATGCACACACTCCACTGCTCCTACTGAACAAGTTCCAGGATCAGCACTAAGCAGGAAAAGATACTCTCAGCAGGGCCTACACTGTCTTAATCCATAGCCACTGAAACAGGCAGCACAGCAGAAAAACAAGCCACCTATTTCACTAACCTATCTTTCCTCCTCTTTGCAATAAAAGAGGCCCCTTCAAAGGCTTCATTACAACCCTTCTGTATAGAAGAGAGTTGCTCTTATCCATCAGGCAGATACAATTCCAAAAAGTTGGACTACGATTGAAGCACTGTCTATTAGGAAGGTTTTTGTTCACATGGAAATCTAACATCTTAAAGACCACCACTATCTGTTGTTATGAGTTTTTATTTCACTATGCTCTTTTAGGGAACAGAATAGTTTTAGAATCACATATATAATTATACAGTCACACAAGGATTATGAGCTCAAACTCTCACATTAATATAACTTGTTTCTATGGTTTTAAGACATTAATAGCTATGTGAAATTTTACTCAGCTAATGCTGGCTGACGTTACTGATTTCCCTAGCCAGAGTAAAGAAAGTTCTCTAATTTTACTCCACTCTTGCAAACAACTATTACTAGCAAATGCACATACCTGTGAATGGGTAGTACTGTGATCTACATGGGATTCACCACAGCCAACATATGAGCATTTGTTCTGTTGAGCAAAGAAATGAAAGAAATTATACAGAATAACACTGATGTCAAACAAATTTACAGAGCAGCAACACAATGTCAACCCTTTTTAAGTTCGTTATTTAAAATTTGCAAGGTCCTACACAAACCAAGAGACACACACACAGTGTTAAAATAAATATAATCTAAAGCAACTTAAGAGTGCTGCAAGATTTAGCTCAACTTTTTCACCAGTGGGCAACATTAGATATGTAATGCTCTTGGATTTGACCATTTTTATATTTTCATTCAGATTAAGGTCAATGTATTTCATTGTTTTAAAAACCAACTATGATTTAGTATAGATCTTGATAGAAAATACAAAGTTGACCAGCATCTAAACTGCTGATTTGCAACAGACTTGAAGCAGAATGTATTCATATCAAAATGCCTCCACGCCGACACCCGCAGTGCCCACTGACTAGAATATTACTTTACAATTCGTTAATTTCTGTCTTTAAATAAAGATTTTCAACACAGTAGGCTTAAGTTTTTACTAAATTTCAGTTACAATATGCAAAATTATTGTCAATTTTAATTATTCTAATTACAAAAAGTATTTGGCCAAGTTGAGCACAAAACCTTGCAGCTACCAGTCTTACACATCTTCACAGCATCTTCATTAATTCTTCATTTGCACGAGTAAAGACAATCACATAGGAGAATACAGAATGTTATTTGTGTAACTGAGCATATTAATTCATACAAATTGCAGCTGTACACATACAGTAAATTAATTTTCTGTATTAAGTTACTACAGACACTTGTTAAGTTACAAATATTTATCATGCTGGGATCTCACCATGTGGTGGCTGTTTTTCTACGCACAAAGATGAAGGCGAGATGCCAATTCATCCAAGAGGAGATATAACACAGCGTGACACTTGAAGTGCCTTACTGCAATTATAAAACTGCCCTATGGGAATATTGGTATGAAATTAAGTTTTTGATTAACAGTTCAAAACTAGTAAGTGAAAAAGAAGAAGAAAAAGGTGCAAAAATAGCTCTAAGCTTCATATCTTCCTCACCTGCTAGCTTCATGAATCCCTCAACTTCTTTATATAAAAAAAGCTTTATACACACACATATACCTCAAACTTTAATTATCTTGATAGTAGATAACAATGTGGCTTATTTCTTCCCCCTTCATTTTTTTTAAACAACTTTGATAGAAGAGGAAAAATAATCTAACCTCCTTACTGTTACAAAAACCCACTTGAGAAAAGAGACTTAAGTTTCTGAAAATACTCATACGCCTACAGGATGGCATCTCAGCCTAGACTTCCTCCTGGCAGGACTTAGCTTAGGCAAGTACTGTCAAGAAACACAGGCATTCCTACAGAGCAAATCAAGCTCTGGAACTGTATATTTGAAGAACTCAGATTTGTACACAAATCAGAAACTATAAAGAATGTTTGTTCGTGTTTCAAAATACAGTGTTTCTTTGTTTTACCTACGAACCAAGAGGTTGTAACATATGATTTTACACTAAAAATAAAGAAATAAAAAAGCAACATTTCCTGCCAGCAGATTATATTATTATTAATTTTAAGAGAAGCTCAGAAAAAAGCTTAACTCAGGAGTGATGAATTTAATTATCTTCAGATCTATTAACTGAGACTTTTTTTTTTTAAAAAAAAAAAAAAGAGGGAGACCGATACTCAAGAAGGAATTTTAATATGCTAACTTCTTACCAAAAAAAGATAATTTTAAACACAATACTTCTGCATTACAAGAAAAGAGTATCTGATACTAGGAGGGAAACTGATTTAGAAATGGTAAAATTGCACAATAATTCTTTTTAATTACTTCTTTGAAGTCACTCTTAGAATATTTTGTTGTAGTTGTTTATTCAAAAGCATTACCAATACAGCTTACTAGAGAAGCACAATCTCCTTTGAAGCAACAGACCAGCTTACCTCTAAGCATGCCCAAAGGTTGGGTCCTCCAACTTTACATTCCTGACAAGTGCCCTGTTAAGTTAAGCACATAAGAATTATTTGATTTATTTTCATCAACAAAGCATACTTTGAAAACAAAATGAGAGGAAAAAAACCTACGTATCAACTTATGAAGATTTAGGACAGTTAAAAGAATGTGTTCATAATAACTTTTTTTTTCCACTTAAAATTTTAATAGCAGCTCTTTTTTTTCTTTTGTAAAATAGTGGAGATTTTTGATCTTTGCAGACTGACTAAAATAGGAACGCACAGTTATTATATGTGCAAAGTTATAAAGAAATCACTTTGACTTCTCTTCATATTTAAATTGAGATGCAAGACCAGTTTGGGGGGATCTTGATGTTAATATGATATGAAATATATTTATGCTTTTTTAGAAGAACTTTTTTTGGTTAAGATGAGAACTTTGTATAAAGATGATGAAAAACAACAAGTAGATGCAACAATAGACAAAGAATATGCAAACACTATATACAACAGCAAACCAAGATAACTTATACTTTTGGTTAAGAAATTTAATACTATGCACAGGAAAGTGTTCTTTGCTTTTTAAAATCACCTCCCAGTTCCTAAAATGAGTTACAAAATCTTTTGTTTGTTCTCTCTGTTAATATTGGAGAGCAAAAGTTCAGATAGGAGTCTTTAATCAAAAAGTAAACTAGCAGTCAACAAAAATGTAAGCATAAAATATTTTCTTACATTTTCTTCTTTACGTCACTTCAGCTACAGTATATTTAATTTATATTCCAAACAAATGATTGCCACAGTAACATAGTCTAAATGAAAAATGAATAGATCTACTTCCTGTTTTATTATCTCCTGTAAGCAACACTTCTATTAAAACATCACCCATTTCAGAAAACAAGATTAAAATTCTTGGGAATGTCCTCTTAAAAGTTGAGTGCTGACAAAATGTTTCTCAGTTTGTTCAGGTCATTAGTTCTCCCCCCACTACACCTGAAGCTTTATATTCCAGTATAAGAGATGGAACAAGATATTTCATCCACATGTAGTGGTTAACTGCATCTTAAGCATAGTAATACATGAGAAGGTGCATAATTAAGTGACCAGCACTTGTGACAAAAAGGAAGCTGCCATAACTCACATGAGATTTCTGTATCAATTCCTCTTTTGTTATTTCACCAACCGATTCCAAGTGTGGGCAGTCGCTGCTCACTGACGACATTTCAGAAGCCGTGCTTTTCCTGTATCCTGTATCTGGAGCTCTGGAGACAAGGAAATCATTTTTTAATAGAATTAAAAGCAAGAAAAACATGATTTCTTATAATAGGCAGCATTACTGGATAACTAAAATGTAACATATACATAACCTGCCTTCATGTAACTCAGTATAAATAACTATTAGGAGAATCTAGGAGCCCAAATTCAACAGCTGTCTTCTAAAATGTAATCCTGTATTTTCTGTCTTTTAGGGCATACACCAATATAATCCTGTGATAGAGAACCTTTGGATGAATTATTTAGCTTGCTCGCTGTCACTGTGACAAAACAAATAACCCAAAACTGCTCCTGGTCTTGACTGTTTATGGTGGAAATTAGATATTATGTAACAGCTAAACTGTGTTGAAGCTATCGAAGTTAAAATGCAAGAGTATGACTTGTCAAAGAGAAGAAAACTTAGTTACTTTATTTAGAGACACATTCAGTCAATTACAGGTATATTATATACCAAAGGCAAACTGAAACCTGCAACTCACATGTAGTGCAAAAAATTCAACAAGCTTTCTCTTGGTTGGCTTCTCTCTGTCCTTTCAAGTTGTGAAGCAAACCTAGAAGGTTATTAGAAATAAGGTATGCTAAATGCATTCACTTTGTCAATATTATGATAGCTGCAGATACAGCTGTCATTTTAGAGCACAAGAAAACTGAACATAGAGTATTTTCCATAAAAAGAATGTTGCTATTTGAATTGTGCAGTTAAGAACCATCCAAGAGTTTTCTTGCTATTTTCCCACCTAAACAATCACTACTGATGCTTCAATCTTTCCAAAGCCCAACTGTTAAGTCTTCTTTGTCCAATTACCAGGTATCCAATCTAGTGCTCCGTTAGTAACACACACAAGTAAACTTCAAAACTAATTCACTGAGGCACATACCCTGTTCTTCCTCCTACTTGATCTGTCTGTAGCTTTCAGCGCTTATCAAAATCTCTTTTCAGTCCTCCTCCTATTTGCTTTGGCAGATTTAGGTCTCTCTCTTCAGTTACACCACCAATCACATCTTGAAAATAAGCACACCAGACTAAGAAGTATTAATCTTATGCCCATGCAGTATTAAAATAATGAGTATTCTACTGCCTAGGGAAAAAACAAACTAGCAAACAAAACACTACTGAATCAAGGGCCATTTCGGTTTATCTTCACCAATAGTATAAACAGTGTTAGCCATGTTTTTCTGCTAATCTTCAATATTTTTAATCATTGGTGCAATCAAATTATTTTCAGAGCAAAGCTCTTCAGCACATTTATATAAAAACATGTAACAAGCCCTTTTAGCAAATGAAATATATCAAATGATGAACCACCGCAACTTTCTGTCATATTAAATTGTTCAAGTTCCTATTTAGGACGGGAACAGAAACAAGAACATAGGTTTCGTCTTGGACGTCTTGCAAGGTCTATCAAGGCATTAAACATGGATAAACACGTTTCAAGTAAAGCCCCAAGTATCTTAAAAACATCAGTGTGCATTAATACTTACTTAAGACCAGAGCTTTAGGAGGAAGGCTATAATAGATTACTGAGACTTAATTAATTTTATGCACTAAGATTTTCTCATTGCATTACTACAAGCAATATAAAGCAAGGAAGGAAGCAGTCTTCACACCATCAGATTTCTTGTTAATCGACTATTTTTCATAACCAGAACTGCGCAAATACAACCTGCAGGCCCAAACAACCTCAAGTCAGGGGTTCTGGTTCGTTCCAGATTGCTTCCTGGTGCAGCCTGAAACACTGCTCTTGGTCATCATCAGAAAGACTGGAGCACATTAATGCTCATGTCCCTAGGGACATTGTCCCTACTCCTGTCCATGTGGAGGGTACCCCTTTTACAACCTCAGTTAGCACATGAAGAAACTATTACTAAACAGGTGCAGCTAAATGGCCTTTCTTTCAAAGGGCTTTTCTGTTGAGAAAATCCATATGTCCCCTCCCATCCAGTAGCTTTTATCTTGGTACTTAACGTACGTAACTGCAGTAACACAATACGTAAAAATTTACCTTAAGCTTCATTGCACTGCAAGATGAGATTCTAAATCACTAATCATCTTCCATGTCTTGAAATACTAGCAATCCAAGGGTAGCTTTTCCCTCATTTGCTGCCCTTGCTCCCTTTCAGCACCTCCTGTTGATTCTAGCTTAGAATTGCTCATCCTCCTTCACCCCTGCTTTAGTAATGAATGCCCTTTTCACAGCTGCTTTTTCTTAAGCTTCTTCACTGCACTGACCACATCTGAAAGTTGCTTCCTCACCCTTTCAATGAAATTAATAGAATTCTACTTTGCAGATTCTCTTATATTCCTTTCCCCCCGCCACCCTCCAAATGCTCCCCCCTTAGTACATCTCAGCTTCTTGCCTCCACTGATGTGATTATTTGTATGAGGATGAACAGCTGCATCTGAACAGATCTCCTGAGTCAGGTCAAAGGTACCAGTTCTAGGCATAACACAGTATCCAGTGTGGGACAAAAGACATCATGGCAAGAAAATTATGACAAGAATACAGTAATTTCCCCAAATCTTTTCCCAAGGCTGCAACATATTTTCAGCACAAGAGTTTCCTGAACCAAAAGTTTTATATATATATTTATATTATGAAGACAGAAAATGGCTCTGGAAAAGATCTGTAATGTCAGCCTTCCCAGGTTGTAAAGCCCTACAGAAATTGTCATGGAGAAAGGGAGTGTTAGACAGGGATCACATGGTTAGTGATAAGGGATCTGTTTCTGCTACATTTCATAGGCCCTTCAGAAATACTCCACACCCTCACACGAGCCTTTAAAACCACAAACTGAAAACCCCAGTCCCACATCATGTGATATAAAAAAAAAAAAAAACAACCTTTGCTTCATCCAGAGGTTAAGAGTTAAATAAAGCTTGCCTGAGGAGTGAATTTAAGTTTCCACGCTACCTGTTCAAAACCATATCCATGTGCTAAGCGTTCATATGCTTCCTATGTATTTGGGAAAGGACCCTGAAATGCATTCCTAGTTTGCTTCTTGGGTTCCACCAAAAGGTTTGTTTCAGCCCACCAGTCTCACTGCATCACACAGTATTACAACACAACATCATCCAAACAACTGAGTCCTCTAATATCCAGGACTGCTTAATGCTTTTTTTTTTTTTTTCCCCTCTTGACTATTACCACGTACAGTAAGGCACACTATAAAACTGAACCTGTAATACTTACCTTAAACATTTCTTAAAAATACATTTTCCATTCATTTTGTGAAATTAAATCTGCTCATGGGAGCTAGTGAAACATGAACTGTATTTTAAAGCATCAAGGCGAGCAACTTATTTATTATTCATCAGAATTCCACGGCGTCAGAGACTCACGTGGTGCCTCCCAGGGAGGCTCTATCATATCAAAATCCCTATGAACAAGTCTAAAGAAACCACAGTTAATGGGTCTTAAAAACTGGAGAGTAGGAAGAGCTGCCCTATGCAAAGCAAGCTGCAAGTAGAAGGTTTTCATTCATCCTCAGTTATTTTAACACTGATGCACTAGAACAATCACATTTTTTTTTTTCAGCCACAAAAGGAGAGACACCGAAATGCATTTTCACAACTGAACCTAGAATAATAAAAAGCTCTGGTAGTTTCAGTAATTAGTTGCCACACAGAGTCTTCACACTTCGAAAGACACCAGCATCCAACCCAAACTATACCTGCCCATGGAAGCTAAAGGCATAGAATGTAGGTTTAGGGAACCTATATTTTTCCACTTACATCCTAAAAAAACAACTGTATTGGTCTTTTAAAAAAAAATTACTGGATTCTTTGCTAATTTATTACAGATATTGATGTATTTCTTGACAACAACCTACAAGAACAATTTTATTATTTCAAAATTCCACAAAATATTCCTTTTAAGCCAAAATCAACTTTCACACACTAACCTCCTTTATATTATCTTAACCAGTAAATATTTTTAATATTAATTTCCCATCCCTCCCTGCCCTCCCTATTTCTGCCTTTTGATTGTTTGTTTGTTTTAAGGTACCAACTCTAAACATCAGTATTGCCTTTTCTGGAGCGAAAAATCTGGAAGAAAAACAACTTTATACATTTAAAATAAAAACTGTTATTTTCCCAGTAACTGACAAGCACCTGCCTAATAAAGTGATAGAGAAAATAAATAATAATAATAAAAAAGAAACGGCCTGTTTTGGGGCACCACGAAGCATTCAACCAAGCAAAAGGCAACTATAAGAAGCCGATTTTGTTACATTTGCTTTCCTTTCACTAAAGACCGTTTTCTTAAGCAGAAAGGACATTACAAAACCCGCTCGACTTCATGGCTCACGCTCTCCCAGGCTCAGAGTGTACGAGATAACACGGAGATAACCGCAGGCACCCAGGGCCGGCCCAAGGCCCGCGTTCGCCGCTCTCTTTCCCGCACAACGTTAATCTGAAGCGGCGCTGCCCGCCGCGCCTCTAAGCCGATTTCCCCCCGCCTCGGGCCCTCCCGGGGCCCGCAGTGATTTTCCACTCGGTATCACCACGGATTTTGTCACTTTTCCTGTTATATTTTTTTTTAAAACGCGGCCCATTCCCGCCCCTCGCGCACGGCGACGCAGACAATGAATCGCGGCGTAAAACAGGAACGATTTTACTAGAGAAAATAATAACAATAAAAAAAATAAACAAGAGTGACCTTAGCCGTATCGCTCCCCTCTCCCCTCTGCTCTCCCCTGCCACCTCCGCCC